TGTGTGTGTGTGTGTGTGTGTGTGTGTGTGTGTGTGTGTGTGTGTGTGTGTATGTATGTGTGTGTGTATGTATGTATGTATGTATTTGTGTCTGTGTGTGTGTCTGTGTGTGTGCGTGTGCGTGTGCATGTGCATGTGCGTGTGCGTGTGCGTGTGCATGTGTGCGTGTGTATGTGTGCGTGTGTGTATGTGTGTGTGTATGTGTGTGTGTATGTGTGTGTGTATTTGTGTGTGTGTATGTGTGTATATGTGTATGTGTGTATGTGTGTGTGTGTGTGTGTGTGGGTGTGTGTGTATGTGAGTGTATGTGTGTGTGTGTGTGTGTGTGTGTGTGTGTATGTGTGTGTGTGTGTGTGATTGTATTAGGGCTTTTAGGGGGTATGGGCTTACAATCCTGAAGATAGCAGGAAATTCGGGTAAAAGTCAACTGGAGTTTTCCACAAGGTGAGAATGTTATATTATTTTGATTCGGTTTTCGAAACATTGCTCTCGCTTAACCTCAAATCAATGCTAAGTGAATTTACTGTAATATAAGACTTTAATTCTTCGAGTAAGCACTCTTTATCTGGATCTATCTTAAGACGTAAAGCTGTTACGCAGGACTATCTTACAATTTTGCTTTTGGTATAAAGAGGCGTTTTCTTCTCGCTAAAAGAACAATCACTCGTTGTATGCATAATATATATAATAATGATACGCAGGAAGAGAGACAGCACTTTACAATTTATTGTTGTTGTTGTTTGGTTGGGTTAAAAAAAAATTAAACGACAGGCAATAGAACTGCATGCAATCTCATAAAAAATAAATGTTTTCTTGAAGATGCCATTCTGATTTTTAAAACTTTCCAGTTTTAAAGAAGCGGAAAATTATCCATCTGCTACATGCACAATTTCTTTGCCACCTGGCTAACCGGAAAGATAACTTATAATTTCGCAAATTTCATTCAGTGACCATGAATCAAATATTTGTGTAAGCTACAAGGTACCATATTGAATGCCTTGTGTGTAGTGCACAAAGTATTAAAAGCGTGAGAAGTCACATTGCCCATATCCATCTTTTAGACTGGGTAATACTATACAAACCAGTATCTTGGTGGGGTAAGGCCGAGAGGCTAGGTCTCTACATGTATCTTGTTTTCTTTCTAATCATGCAAACCTAAGCTTATTGAGTTCAATCAGTTAATCAGACTTATTTGATGCTTTTAAATCCATTCATCTTATTATTATTACTGTTGCCTGAATGTAGATATCTAGTGGCTACATATTAACAAAAACAAAAAACTGGCACAATACCGGCTAACAAACAGTGATGAATAACTTCTCTGTCAAAGAAGGAGTTTTAAAAAACGGCACCATTAATCTATATCTGATGAAGGAGGAGGAGGGGGGTTAGTTCTTGCCCAATTCCTTCAAAGTAACATGTCGTGCTATTGTCATACCGAGTCGCCAGCGTGAATTGGGGGGTAAGAGTTTGACTCTCCTTTAAGAGAACTATACCCGGTTTAAATATATTATAGTAGTCTCCACCCACGATCCCACCGTTTATGATCCTGTTTCACTTAGGATTCCGTTGTTTTAAAACAATTACAACACAAAAGTCACTCATAAGATTCCATCTGAAGGGACTAAACGCTTAGCTCTCCACACCATAGATCATCCGCGCTCATGCATACGATCACATAGAGATCTTAGCTCTACTTCTCGATGAGAGGTACAACGTTTGCCTCAGGCGCAAATGGAGGATCTTATACGGGGTGCCCACTACGTGTTTGTTTTCAGTTTAAGGCGATCGAGAAGGGTGATCGGCCCGATCCAGCCGTTGTGGACACCCCGTATTACAATGAACAAATCACGCCAAAGTGGGAACTCTTCGACGCCTTTGATTTCTCCGAACATCGAACTGGCATCATGAACCTACCGCCTGAGCTTTGCAGCAAGGCATAATACGATAGGCTGGGCCAACAATGATGCGTCAGATGGGATCACATCGAACTGCGATTTCATCGGTCCTTTTATTTCCCTGACCATCTCACTATCTATTAGGTCTACACCCGATTGCCATACAATACATTTCGCAGTGAAGTGATTTTAGAGAGACCACAGATCTCTGTGAATGGCAAAACATTTCTCATACAACCTGTGCACCTACCAGTGGGCGTCGCCCCGCTCCGACCCGATCCCCCAATGGGCACTCTGTCGCCTGTACTCGAGGACTGTCCGATCGCCTTTGTGTAGCCTAATTTTGGCAGAGGGTTGGTCTTTCATTCTTCGAATTCTTTTTGGTGTGTTCACGACACACTGATAAGTTACGACCTCAATCTATGAGCGTTGGATTTCGGTCAGAGATGAAGGAAAGCCATAGATTTACACTAGTACTACGCTTAAAAGGAGATTACTTTATGAAGACAGGTTAAGATGAAAGAGCAATGAGTGAGAGAATGATTTATTATTAATAATAGGCTAAGGAACCCAACATCACAATCTAACAAAGACTGTACTACTAGTATTTGTGCATCAATACAGTTTGTAAATTAAACTTTTATCCCATTTTAAAAGGCTAAGGGTACTGTAATTATTATCTTTTCAAAAATTACTGTGCTCAACAATTCATAGACAAAGACAATACATTGTTAGGGCGATAACATAGAGAACGCCGAAACTTAAGCAGCTGAAGATCGACGTAGACAGGCGCCAGTAGGTGTCTGCTTGACTCCACATAGAGGGCGCCTAAAGCCTAGACCTAGATATATGAAAAAATTACACCACAACACAGCTGGTATTTATGAAGCCTTATTTGGGGATAAAAAACTCGTAATTCCTAAAATATTGCTTAAAATGTAATTCTGCTAGAATGCCACCCTAATTTGACGACGCTGATTTAAAAAATGTATTTAGTTTGTTTTTTTTAATAGTTTTTGTCTACCGAGAAGCACCAGCTCTGAAATGGCCTTTTAAAATTGTCCCCTGTCCAGTCGAGTGACGTCGCGCAAACCGCTCAACTCGAGTTGGCGACGGCGGCATGAGTTTGCGACCTCCGTGCTTTCTTTTCGCATCTCCATTATCAATATCAGTTAAAGCAGTTCACAACAAAGAGTGCGCTTAAGAAGAAGTCACATTTTAACTGTTCATAAATGGAGATACGATAAGAAAGCACTGAGGTCGAGAGTTGACAGCAAGACGCCCTTCCCAGCTTTTCGGCGTTATAAGAATATAGTTTGGATTCCGATAAAGCCGACGACGCCGACCCAAGCTTAAAGCCGCCTGCAGCCTGTCAGCTCTACGTGGGGCAAGTTGGAAATCATAAAGACATTTTTGTACCTATAGGCACTTACTGAGTCTGTCTCCGAAATCGGCGTTCTCTATGTTTTCGCCCTTAGCAATCAGTTTAAGCTGACTATGACTCTCTTTTATTCTATGTTCTTGTGTGAAGGCATAGGCTACCTCAAGTGAAGGCCTTTTACCTAGGCTTTCTTAGATCTAAGACAAGCTAGTCCTTTGCGTTCACCATGACACATGGATGCTAGTAATAACACTTTTTTGGGGGGTTAGTGTTTTACGGCGCTCACATCTGCATACGGTCATATGAGCGCGCCTGATATATTTAACATGTTCGTTTGGTAAGAAATTTTGAATTTTGTCCGGGTGACGGCCGAAGTCTACTCTTATCGCTTTTGGACCACCAAGAGATCTTTAACGTAGACAACTTACACTCGGGACCTCCGAAATTTTTCGCCCTTGTCCGAGAAGGCTAGGTGTAGATCTTTCACACCAGAAGATCAGGGGTGTGGCTGAAAGACAGCTGTAAGAAGGAGCCTATAGGAGTAGCAGCAGAAAGGCTGCAGACAGAGTCAGGAACCCAGGGGAGGGGGTGGGAACAGAATGTGGAGACGAAAGAGACGATAGAATATTTTTAGAGAACAGGAAAGGATGTGAAAGAAGAAAATTTTTAGAGAAGAAAATTTTCCGTCGTTATCCGGATTCGAATCCGGGACCTATTGGTTGAGAGGCGAACACCTTAACCTCTTGGCCACGAGAGCCCCCTAGTAATGGCAATGCCCTTGAACCCTGCAACCATTGTGTCAAATTTAATACATGTACTTGTATTTTTTACTACCGGTATATTTTAATTACTAATTACTCAATACGCATGTAAAAGACTAAATTTAGGCTGATGTGTCTCGCAGACTAATTAAAATGAAACCACTGACTTGAAACCTGTCCCTTTTCCCTGCGGCCACTATACATAATACAAGCAATAAGATCAATCAATACATGCGTTGCTGTGAATTGTAACCTGCGCCTTTTATAGTCACTTCACTGTCGCACACAGGGGACCCGAGTTAGATTGCCGTGAGGGGATTTTTTTAAAATTGAGTAGGCCTACCTTCGGTTTTACCACAGGGATTTTGTATCCTACTCAGCCCTTGTTGGCCCTGACAGCAGCGGCCTGAGGCCCGCCTCCTAAATTCATAAATTGTATCGATATAGGCATAAACACATCTGCATTAAAAAGATGCGAAGTGAAAAGGTCCATTATCTCTCCTATGGAATCTTATCACGATGGAATTACTTAAAAAACCATCCAAGTGAATGGAGAGTTCTTAACCGTGCACGAAACAGTACACCACGCATGAGCCTCAAGACCACGCCCTTTCAGAATTCCAAATCATGTAATGGTCGCCCTTATAATCGCAGTCGCGCAAATCATAGGCCTACAATGCCATGAGCTATTTATGCCTAACCTACCAAGGACCCATAACCTTATAATTTTTAAAAAATCCCCCATTATTATTGTTTAAAATTTTGTAACCTCCTTCTGGCCAAAACGTTTTCTCCCCCATTTTCCCTTCTTCTTCTCCTTTCAGTTGTATCGTATGCGTGATTGCATTGCTTTCCCTTTCCACACAATTTTCAAACTTTGTCTCTCTTTTTGTTATCTGTAAACATAAAATAAATCTAATAAAAAAAAGTCAAGATCTAGATCTAGACTCTAGTGCTCCATTAGTAGACTAGGCCTACATCATGCACCAACACCATAGATTATAGATTGTACTCTCTTGAAGAAACTTCTACCTCCCCACAGAAATCTGTGGACCTCCCCCGCCCCCCTTTTTATGTCACTCTTCACAGGGCATGAAAAAAGTTTAAGGTAAATCTATACATGTCAAATCTTTTGTGCGATAAAAGCTATTAAAGCCTTTCAGCATAACAAAATGGCTTCCCACCGGCCTTCAGGTATCAAAGTTGACGTGTCACCAGTTCACGTTTTTTGGTTATTTTAACGTTTGTTTGATGCTTTTGCTGTAGATACAGATGCATACAAAGGTGCCTTCATTGCTAACAGACCGGTTCTGATATTTAGACCGTCTTTAGCTGTGATAATGAGGCTATGACAATTGTTTTTGTTATGATTCAATAGGTTCAGTTTTTTAAGTTGCTGCAGGTCTATTGTTGTTGACAATCGTGTTGGTTACTTCAGGAAGGAAATTAAATCTGGATTAAAAAAGAAAAACGTATTAAGAGAAAGCTCACTTATTTAGATAGCCTGCAGCTTTTGCAACTGTAAGTCACAGTCTCGCAGGTTCACCCCGATCTGGGTTGGCAAAGTTTCCACAGTCCGCTGCCCTACACTTGACTTTTGTAGGCTACTTGTTACAGTACAGTTTGTTGTGTTGTTCTTTTGCACAGTTGCTGAAATGACAATTCATCTTAGAATTTAACGATAGAAGATTTATATTATACAAAATTTGCTTACTTTACCTAGATCTAAGTCAGAATGAGTGTTCACCCAAGAAAGCGAAAGGTCTTGTTAGAATGTAAGTGTCTGAGCACCTGCTGCAAAATTGACAGCTTTCCCTAAAATGCTTCCTCATTCATTCACTGGAAGTTGAGGAACCTGAATATTAAATTATTATAAATGTTTTGAGTCTGCGTGAGGGCTTATTGGTGTAATAAGTTAGAATTGAAAGTGCAAGTTCAAATTGAGGGACGTGCTTTGCAAATATGTACAATTAGATCTAGTATGTGTGTATGTAAATTATTATTTATATGAATTTGTCTGCACTTGGAAAAGATGGGTGGTGGGCAGGTGCTCTAATCTCCAACTTTTACACGACCTTGTGTTACAAGTGATGTTAAACTCTATAACAAACTAAACTAATTGAGATGACATGAAGTATTCTCGTCTTGGTGAGGGCATTATAATATAAATATGATATTGACAATACAATGTTTTGTATAACATGTATTGTAAATATTTTCAAGGAAAGACAACAAGACAAGGGAATTCCCATGACATACAATACTATTTTCATGTCTCATTTTGATTTCTTTAGACCTAGATTCTGACAATTTTTTTGGGGGGTACTCTGTCTTCTTATTTCTGGAAACCATTTAGCTCTGGGAGGATTCGTCTCGGCGCTTAGCACGAAATCCAGAAAAAGGGAGATAATCCACCTAAATATTATATGTTTATTAAAATAGTCATAAAAAATATTTACAAAATGATAGCATAAAAATAAAACTATGTTGGAAAAAGAATACACTGCTTTCAATGAGCCATTTCAGCTCTGATACAGTATGGGCATGTTACTTATGTCTCCCATTGTAGTTGAGACTATCGGGTTTTCCTTTGTAACTCATCTATCCTGTCAGATTAAAAAAATAACCAGCTCCTCTTTTATCTTCTTTTTCAGAATTAAAATTTCGAATTTTTCATGGTTGTCATGTTTAAAAGATGTGTATTTGAAAAAAGAATTAAAATTAAATATTAGTGATTTTGTAGCAGTTTTCTGACATTGAATTAACATCCCGCCCCCCAGATCATGAATTGTGAAAACATGAGTAATGAGGAGAAACTAAGTGACACTCTGTGCTGTTCTTATGTTCAAGTGTTAATGTAGTAAGTAGAGAAGTTTTTTCTTTTTTTTGTCAGGTGCTGTTGAATCAAAACCAAACATGCAGGACACAGATGCAAACAGTTTGTTTGAAAAGCATACTATTGAAGAAATCAGAGACTTGGAGAAGAAGACAAGGTATGTTGCAATAATGAAATGAAAGTATGCTAAAAAAATTTGGAAGCACAAGAATGTACTGCGAATACAACTTCATAATCATATGTGAGGCATCGTGGTGAAATCAGACACTCGTCAAAATAATGAAATCGAAGAAAAAGTCATTTATTGTCCAGTTTGGCAATTTTTATCAAAATTTTCTCTCTTGGTTAAGTTGAAACACCTTTTATGTTCATATGAAAACACATTTCCATGTAAATTTTACTGAAAAACCTTGTGTAAAGACACAAAATATTAAGGACTCTTAAGCTATTGAATACATCAATTTACCAAACTTAGGCGGACATTTTCTCGCTAATCTAACTTCTGAAAACAGGCGACCCCACCTCCTTCAATCGCAAATATCTTGACTTCTATTCAAGATAAATGGATATATTTTTTATCTATAACAAAGCAAATGAACGACCTTTAAAATGGCACCAATAACTCCATATGTGCCCAAAAATTGAAGAGCGCCTGATTTCACTGGGTTGTGACACGTGTTCCCTTAGTTATTGATTCGTGATAAAGGAAATATGAAAATATTTGCTTGCTGTAAAACATACTTTAATTAAGAAACCTAATGTGTAAGCTATATCTGAGGTGAGCTGCAGAATGCATGTTTGTAATATAGTGTAGCACAACAAGATGATGCATGAGTTTAAAGCCGGTTTGATGCAGAGAGTAAAACACAATATACTGATTGTTTTTTTTGAGAAGCAATTCAGAATCTATCACTGAAGTGTTAAGATATAGGTAAAGGCCTTTTCTCATTGTGATGTGTCTTGTTTCTTTTGTTTTATATTGAACTCTTGTCATTGTCTTGATTGAGAGACTATTAATAAATTTTATTTTCAGATCCGATATTGAGAAAAAGAAAGAAGATTTACGAGTGATGGTCGGGTAAGACTTTTTTTCTTCGAAATTCAGTTTTGATATTCTTATTAGTAAAAAGTATTATTTATTCAGTGAGCTGTAAGTTCATGTTGGCCTTGTATTTCATGATCAATTTACAGTAAGGTCAGTTCAGCAAACCTATATTACTACCTGAAAGGAAAAAGACATTTATAAGGTTTTATTTAAAAAGGAAAGGATAGATCTTAACTGATTCCGTCCATTCTGCCGCTGCTGACAGCGGCTCTGAGTTTTTCCGTTGCGTCCATTCGTCCGCTGTCAGCGGCTCAACTAAATCCGAAACAAAGGTGCACTTTTTAACATAGTTCCTACTTTTCAAGTTGTCGAAAGGAAGTAGAGCTTGTAAACAAACCTTACCTCAATTTCTGAACGCCAATGTCGATCGAAACTCCGCGAAATTCTTGCAAAAATCGTTGTTTTGTTGTCGCGATGTAGGCTAGATCTAAGGGTAAACAACACGGGGCCTGGTATAATAAAAAGGCCCTTCAAAGAAAGATATTCAACTAAATTTGTGAGATTCTTGCATAAATGTGTGCTAGGGTGATATCGCTACAATGTTGTGTTGATTCCTATGGATTATAAGGACTTGTAGAACTGAGAAAATGCGGTAAGTCGAAATTTTCGAAGAGCTGTGGCGCAATTTTTTTTTCCCTTTCGTTTTTGTCTGAAGGAAAATGCAGTACAAACAGATTATAGGTCATTGTTATTGATATAAACAGATTCTTCTATTTATTCCCATCATTTTGGTATATGACAATACCTATTAGAGTGACTTAGAGCTTCACAGTAATGCATTAAATAGATGCACCCCAGGTCTAAAACTGAACAGGGAAAAATAATTCTGTCCAGAGCCTGAAAAAATCATGGACGGAATCATTTAATTAGATTTTTGCTAAAGGCTGTATTCTTTTGCTTTTCTTTGATTTAGTGGCAACTGGGCTTCTCAAGTTGAAATATTTAACATACATCAAAACTTCATCTAATGTGCTGTATATATGTTCTCTGTGCATTAGTTATGTGACATGTGTTGTTTTATTGCTTCTGTCTTCGAACAAATAGAGAGAGGTACAGAGATCTCATTGATGCAGCAGATACAATTGCGGATATGAAGACAAGTGCTGAAAATGTAAGTGTTTGTTCTGTCCACTGTAATTTGAAGTGCAAATTATGATAGATGTTTGTCATATATGTTCTCCTGGCTTTCAGCCTCTGTCTATTTGTATTTTTTTTTTGTTGCTCTTTTGATAGCTGATAATATTATAATTAAATTTTGCGCTTTTGGACATCTTATATTTTTCTTATTTTACTACAAAATTGACAAGAGAAAGAAAATAAGAAAGATATCTGCCGAAAATCCTTGAAAAAAATTTGGTTTACAAAGACATATGGGAACAAATTGGATACTTCCAGTATGACACAGTTCGGAGCAAATATCAGTCAATTCAGGCATGCCAAACCATTTCTGATTGCTACCACTTAGGGTTCCAGTTTGTCTTTGCTGAGGTTAATGTTTTGTGCAGAAGAGAACAGCTTAGTAACCTTCCTCCTGAAATCTATCACACACATTTTGCACAGGGTTCATTGGAATTTCTGAAATCGTTGGATGACTAGGGTCCCATGCGTTTGTATTTGTTTAAACAATTGTTTCTGCATTTATTATAACATACAGTTCATTTATAGGTGTACTTGTTTTAGGGCTTAATGTAACCACTAAGTTGGGATCAATTCATCTCATTGGATATTTGTTATTTGGACATTAGGTGATGAAGTCTATTTCAAGCATGGAAAACTTGTGCAACACAATGCGTCAAAAGCACATGGTTAAAGGAGCTTCTTTCCACATGCACATCAATATTGACAGAGACAAGTGAGTATCTCACGTTTCCAATGCTACTGGAATATTTACTTTCATGCTTTCCAGCCTTAGAAAAGATTTTGTTATTAATAGTTACTGACAGTAGGGAAAAGACACCACTTCTATCCATTTCCTCTCTTTCTTTTTGTGTGTTGTTTTTGCTATTTCCGAACAGTGACAGCATAAACTGTGTTGTTCAGATAGACTTCTCTTTAACTAAAAAAACTAGTTTGATAGTTTTTAGTTTTAGATGTGCATAATATATGCACTTAAAATATTCTTGATGGGTGGATTATTGTTGTATCATTGTTTTGAAACATATGAGCATGATTTTCTTTTCCTATTTGTTGTTAAAAATGTGTTTTGGGGGCATTACTGTATGGTCAGTCCCTTTGAATTCATACAGATAAAAATAATGTACATTGTAGTTTTATTATGTTTAAAGCTTAATTCAGGATGAATTGTTTGTCTATTGTTTGTTAGTGATGTGCGGTTGTTGTTTTTTTAAACTCTAGGAATACCAGGGAGCAAGACTTCTATGGTACTGCTGCCCAGATCAAACTTCTTATGGATATACCTGAAAAGGTAAGAGTGGGGAAAAAGTGATTGTAAGAATACAAAACTAGTTTGCAATTTTTTTTTCTTTTTTCAAATGTAGGTGTTTTTATGCCTTGCCAGTCAAGGTCAACCTTGGTTGGGAGGGATACAACATCCTAGCAGAAAAGCCAAGTTACTTGATAAAGATTTGCTCTACTTGGGAATCGAACTTGGGTCTCTCACATGTGACAGTGAAGCACCTAATGCTACACCACAGACGCTGATTGCAGTTTGTTGATTTGTAGAATGGAGTGCAAGTACTTATAACAATATTAATAAGAATGACAGTGATCTTCTTCTTCTTCTTCTTCTTCTTCTTCTTCTTCTTCTTCTTCTTCTTCTTCTTACTTTTTCTTCTTCTTCTTCTTCTACTTCTTCTTCTTTGTCTTTTTTTCTTCTTTTTCTTCTTCTTTTTCTTCTCTCCTCCCCCTCCTCCTCCTTCTTTTTCTTCTTCCTCATTTCCTCTCCCCCCCTCCTCCTCCGCCTCCTACTCGTTCTTCTTCTTTGATTCTTTTGCTGCTTTTAAAAACTGGTCCAGTCTTTAGATAGCTTTTTTTCTTTTGTTTATTTGTGTGCACTTAGATCTGGAGCAGTGTGGAGAGTCAGGAGTACCTGGAGGCCACTCAGCTCTACTTGTTGGCTCGTCACATCAACACCAGTCTGCACCTGGACCCCCGGCGCTCCTCGGATGTCATAACGTGGTTCCCTGTCCTCACAAGACAGTGGGCTGCCATCAGTCATTTCAAGACCACGATTTTGCAGGTCTGTGGATGTAAAGTTTCCATTTTATGTTCCTTCCTATCGACAGTCTTATACTCTAGCCATGTCTGGTTACTTGGAAGCTTTTCAGTTTTTTTTAAAAGAAATCGTTCTTACTTAAATGATGAGACAAGACTAACAGGTCACCTCACCCCCACAGTAACTTTTATACTGTCATCTCTTTGATTTTTTATTGAGGACCCACAGATGTGCCGCCAACACAAATCAAGGCAATTACTAAAAACACCAGATTATCAACCGGATTATTATATTTTCTCAATGGCGATATCACAACAAAACACTTAAAAAAAAAGTAAATCTAAATGTTTGCAACATCAGCCATATCAGCAGTGTTATGCTGTAATTGTGGAACTGGAAGAATTAGGTAGACTCATTTTTTGTTCTTAAATCATATGGCTGATGTTACAAACATTTAGATTTACCTTTTTTTTAGAAAAGTGTGTTGTTGTGTGATATTGAGATTGAGAAAATATAATAATCTGGTTGATAATATGGTACTTTTTGTAATTGCCTTAATTTGTGTTTGTGGCTTATGGAGATTGTATTTATTTTCTGCCAACCATACACTCAGATTCCTCACTTAAACCCTGTGGAAGAGCACTGACCGACTTCTCACGCTTCTTATTAACAAGATGATATGACATGCTGAAAAACCCATTGGATTGTTCGAAATACTGAGGTGAATTTGTTGTATGTTTATTTTACTGCTAAATTTTATTGACTAGAGCCATATGTATTTTGCTTGTAATTGCCTTTTTAAACCCTACCTGTAGACAATTATGCTAACTTTATGTTTGTTAACAATTTAAAACCATTATTTCTGTACAGGGCTGCCGTTCTCTGCTAACAGACACAGAGGCTGATCTAAGTGACTTGGTATGATTGTGAAGCTTTTTTTTTTTTTCAAAATTATGAGCTTGAGTTGTTGTTTCGACGTTGTGTTTTCATTTAGATTGAAAACTTAATTGTGATGAAGAAATCATGAGTAAATGCATGCATTAGGGTAAGTAAAGGATACTCGTTTAAACTTGTTCAAAATTTTTGGCCCGGTATGATTATCTGGATTTGATAATGTTGGTCTAATGATTTCTGACAAATTTTTGTTTTGGCATAAAGACTTTTGTGTGCCTTGACCTATTGTTTGAACTTGTGGCCATTGTGTATGATAGTGAATTTGTGTTTCCTATGTAGATCAGAATAGTTGTAAGAAAGCTGATGCTTTCTCAAAAATCGATGTAACTGCATGTTTATATGATTTAGATCATTCTTTTTCAGTATTTAGAAAAAAGGCGTGGTTGGCAAATCTCCTTATTTTGAATATACCTTTGAAAATCAGTTTAGTAGAATTTGTCATTGGTTGACATAGAACTGAAACGTTTCTCTTTTCAGCAAATGGCCAATGTCTTGTGCTCCATAATTCTGTTAGAAGACAGCACTCCACGCCAAGTTTTCACTGAGTTTTTGTTAGCTCGTACAGTAAGTATGTTCTCTGAAACAAGGAACACTTCTATTTGATGTGCTAGTTTTTGTGACATTGTCAGTTATATTTGTACTTTTCTTATCATGGTATATATTTCTAAAAAGAATTGTACACTATGCATGTTAAAGTCATTTTGTATTGCTAAAAATGTTGTGGAGAATACTAAGTCCATGAACAGGCCTACCACTTACCCCGAAAAAAAAAGAAGATTTCTAAGCGTTGTTTTACTTTTCAAAAGACCTCAGTCTGTACGCAGTGCATGAGGAAGTAAAAGTGATTACTTCTGCATCTGTAAAATGAGTTGAGATTTATATTTTAATGAAATTTTTAATGAAGTTTGTGAATATAGAAGTTAAGCACAAATGTGTTTGAAATGTTCTGCAAGTACTGGCTTTAGAGCAATGAAAGAACCATGAGGCTTAAGTCAGCACCCTCTTAAATTTCGTCGTCATCTTCCTCTTCACCATCATCATTGCCTTTAAGTTACAAATATGAGTTTGCTAACATAACCTTTGTCTACAGTGTCATTTTAACAATTTGGGAGATTTGACTATTTAGATGGAGACTTCTGTGCTCCTGCTTGTGTTTCAACTGGCGAACAACTAGTGCCTAATAAATTAAGACTTGATGCTTTGAACAGAAAAGAACCTCCTCCAGGAATCTGAAGTTTCTATCTTCAGCTTTACTTTTCTTCCTGAGGGTTATTTGTCCCTTTTTTCCCCCCCTCAGAAAGCCTTGCAGCAGATTCTGCACTCTGGCCAGCAGGGCAATGTGAAGCTGCAGGTGACAGGAGTTGCTCGGCTCCTCACATCGTCGCTACGGCAGATCTACTCTGTCTTCTACTATCATGACTCTCAGAGCTCCGGTCACACCCCAGGAGAACCATTTGGTTTGCTCTTGACCACGCTGGACAGCGTTGTGTCCAAATCAAACCAGGGTAAGGGAGAACCTGATTATTTATATGTAACAATGGTTCTGATATTTTGTTAAATAATACCGATTTGAGAAACAAGGTGAAACATATGAAGACTCAATGACTAACAAAATGTCCCTGATTTTTACAGTGTTTCTTAACTGTTCCTTCCTTTTCACTGTTCTGTTTTACAGACACTCTTCTTTGGGACATGCAGGGAACCATATCATCAAGGTGCTTACCACAGTCTGTGAGAAGTAAGTTGGGTTATCACTGACAATCTTCCCTTTACATAGTAAATATTTTTGATTTTGATTGAATCGCTTACATATTCTGAAGCTGCATTTACTTTTTAAAAGACATCACTTGATATTTATGTGTGCATAACTAAGATTAAATCTTTTTTTTTTTTTTTTTTAAATATTGAAAATGATTTTGACACAGAATGATTCAGGCTGTATTATTAGTTAGTATTTAGTTCATTGGAACCATGGGTCTAGGGCATCACATTTTCAGTTCTTACGCATCTGAATATTATCTCAGGGGTACCATAATTTCACATTTTACACATCTTAGGAGAATAATATACTTCTTTATCCCATTTAATTTGTTCTTGGTACTGGATCTTCCCTGCTCAAAGTTCTTTCTAGGGGGTTTTCCCAGTATGTCTTGCAAATGATTGTCTTGATCGCAAAAAAAAGTGCTGTTGTCACAGATTTCAAGCCCATGCTGAGGACTCCTGCTACAGCACTTCAGGCTCAGCATCTCAAAGACAATTGTCAACAGTGGATAAACACGTATGTTTTGGATTTGTTTAAAGTGAATGGTTGACGGTTGCTCTAATATGTTCTGTTTTTTAAAAAAAAACTTCTTTTAACTACTTCTTTCATGTTGCTATTGTTTTAATCTGTTCCTAGTGATTATCTGGAAGACTTGCTGTGAACTACTACTCAACTTCATTCTAGAAACAAAACTGCACAACAGACAAGGTCGTACTATGTATTTTTACATATCCACTTGCTGAAGGGGGCCAGGGTTTTAATATGTGTAAGCTATGAAAATAAACAGTCACACTTTGAACCAGCTTTTTGTTAGTGGGTCTTTATTCACACCTGTTTTTTTCTGTGCTCGAAAAATTGAATCATAGGAAACGAGAATTGCAGCGGTCTTCTCCTCCTGCTTCTGCTTCTTTATTTTCCTCTTATTCTCCTCTCCCCTCCCCCTTTCCCCTCCCTCTTCATTTTCTCCTGCTGTTTCTAAGGAGGAAAGAAGTGTTATGGATGGGAAGACTAGATTTGCTTTTAAACACGTGTTATTTGGTTATCTGGCTATCATCCCATTACACTGATCATAGGGCCAGCTTCTTCTCTTTCACCCTGTTGTTTCAATAGTTTTTTAAATCCCAACAAAACGCATTACCTTTCTTTTTTTGGAAGGGGATTAAAATGGAAGCTTAAATTATGAGGTCACTGTTGAAATAAATATTTGTTGTACAGTTGTCTGCAAGATGTTCAGTCCGGAGTGGGAAAGCTGCTGAACTATGTGAACACAGTGAAAAGACTGGCAGACATTCGGGACGAAGTCTGGGAGCTACTCAGTACAGTAAGTTTTGTTGTTTTCCTTGTTCTAATATTATGAATGGTTGATGGGCTCTTTCATGTGATCTTCTCTTTCTATGTCTTTTAAGTGTTACTGGTTCCTGTGTTTGTTTTTGGCTACAGAATGATTGAAAGATGCCCTGATTTGGTCTGTTTCTTGTACTTCATTTGTGTTTGTTTCTTTGTTTTGATCTGTTCTGAGGCGAAATATAGACTTTTGGATGAAGACTTGCAGTTGATTACATCTTGAAAATTATTAAGAGTGGATTTTGATAGGGCTTGAGCCAAGAAGGGATAAACGCACTTTGATTGACAAGAGAAGAAGCAAGGTGATAGCACTTGCATGAAAACCGACCTTCACAAACTCTAGGAATTTTTGCTTCACTTTTGAAATGACCTGTGAGTCAAGAATACCCTTTTCTTTTAGCTACTTTGCATCAGAGGGAAAAATTGGGTTGGAAAAATTCAGTGCTCAAAGATAATGCTTGTCGTTAAAAGGCCATAACTTCGCATGCAATTGATTGATGTTTTGAAAGGTTGAGAATGGTTGGAAGTCAGAATTTCAGCAGCATTTCAGAAATGACCCTGTTCAAAATGCCTAGAAATGACCATGTAAAAGGTTTCCTGGAGTTGCTACATATGTCATCAGTTTGTGATTTTTTAAATGTTTGGTTTAAAAAAGGTACTTATTTTTCAGGCTTGACATCTAGTGTTGAAGTTAAAATTGCAACAACAACAAAAAAGAATGTGCTGATTAATGGTATGAATATACAAAGAGAACTTAACAGATGGATGAAGGAGAAAATTACAATAAAATAGTTTTTTAAAAAAAGTATTCAGGGAGAGAAATGAGTTAATGAACCTTGATTGTTAATGTCTGCTCCAGAATCTGGCAACTAATGATGATGTTGGTTTGACCACTCTTTCTGCTTTGTTGAGTCCATGACACATTGTTGTGCTGTTTCAGGTTGAGAGTACAGTGAGCTGGAAACAAATCAGTGAGAGCATTGTTTGCTTGAAAGTGTGGGAGGATTTCTTCAGGCCGTTGTTTGTTGGGAGAGTGAAGGTGAGTGGTTTTAAAACAAGTGTGCCTGTACTGCAATCATTTTTGTTTTTCCCACTTTTTTCTGGGTGCCCTGTGCTCACAGTCGTGTATATATATATGAAAATATGCTGATTGACACTGCATTTTAATACATTGCCTCCATATCTTTTTTGTCCAAAAAATTCCCTGCAGACATATGAATTTCTCTTGTATTTAAAATGTCACTGACTCAGTGCTTCTAATGTGCAAGTTGTATTTGGTATCATTTTATTCAATGACGTCAGTATATCGCGACATCAGTGCTTTCTTGTCGTATCTATATTTTTAATAACAGTGAAAACAGTTCATAACGAAGAGTGAGCTTAAGAAGAAGTCACATTTTTACTGTTAAAAAAAATGGAGATATGACAAGAAAGCACTGGGGCCGCGATATGTTGATTATGAGATTATAATAATTCATTTTAACTCACCACTTGTCTGTAAGTTGTCATGGCAACAAAACAGTGTGCAAATAGGTAGAGGCATGGATCGCTGAGACATGGGTTTGGAACTATAGGGTTAATTAATTCTTTCAAATATTGTGTATTCATGAATATGGGAGTGATTTATATTGATTCTGTCAACATTAAATAATAATGTTTGCTGGGCTATACATACTCATAAATAGACCTGATATACAGATAGAAAGACACATGAACATAACTTTGTGTTTTGTGACGGATACACAATCTTTTACCTCCTGGCTACAATTTCATTTGCTTATCTCTCCACATTTCACAGGCTTTGGTTCAGTTCCAGTTGGACACAGCTGCTGAACTGACCAATCGTACCATCTCCAAGGTTATGATGGAACTCACCTCTGACATGAATGACAGGTATGTCAAAAAACCAGATTGTGTTACCGTTCAGCACCAGTTGTCATGTTGTAAAACGTCACTGGGAGGCTAAAAACAGTGTGTTCCAAACCACATATGTGCATACATCATTCTCCCTGTTTGTCTCTACTATCTATTGTTCTGTTGATTGTGAGTGGTTGTGGGTTGCCATTGATAGGTGCGTATTTCTTTTATTTCCTTCTGTTGTTGCTGTCTAATTTATCGTAAATGACCCAAATGACCGTGTGCCTCTGTTCATTCAATCAATTAAATTATTTAATTGATATACTTTGTTTTCTATTAAAGACAATGTTTTATGTTCTTGCAGTTCACTACAATGTGAGCGAGATCTGTCTGTGTTCTTATGGACTGAGAACCCCAGTGACATCATCATGGCAGACATTTGGCAGGCAGCATCTACAAAAACCCTCAGCGACTGCGGAGGCCTTGTTCTTAAGGCCAGGGCTTTCACACCAGCAGTACAAAAGTAATATTGTAGTCTCACATTTATGATTGCAGGTCATATATATTGCATAATTGCAGAGGCCTTTCCTGAGCAGCTTGTAATATGAGTTACGGCCCCCTGAGTTTTAGTCAATTTAGAAGTTACAACTTGACATTATGGCAGTCTGCAGTTCATTTTTCATCAGAATTGCATTATCCTTTGTAATTATATCCAAAATTCTTGTCCCTTGTTCTTTACATATCATTAGTACCTTATTCTGTTGTGTCATTGATGTTGTGAGAGGTTACATTCCCCTGCCATTTAGTTCGTGGCAGGCATGTGTTTTTTCAAAAGTCATACTGAGATTCATTGAATATACAAGTCGATGGTATAATATTTGTTTCACCAAAACTGCACCATATACAGCCAATATTACATGCTGTACCAAGTGACCAACTGTAGAAAAGTTTATTTTACAGGAGACAAAAATACATTTTTTGCTCAGTCCCTTGTAATTTTATTTTATTCGATTTATTGTAAATCAAAAGTTATGTTCAGAGCATTCCTTCTCTTCTTTTGGGAAGGCTACATCTTCATATGATAAAGTCTATCTTTAGATGTTGAAATATCTCAAACTTGACCCTTTCACTTCCAAATACATTTTTGTGACTTAACTAGCAATGTTATTCCTGAGCCATTTTTTCATTTGACCAGCCTGTGTCACAGTGTGGATGAAAAGCTGAAAGTCTTGCTGGAAGACACTGAGACTTATGTCTTGGGAGGAAACAATGAGGATGTGAAGGAACAAGGGGCTTTCAACAGATTTGCTGACACAGCAGATATTCTCAAATACATGCAGGGCTCCTGTGTCAAGTGTGTTCAAGAGTGAGTACAGTATATGAATTTATGTTTTGGTGATAGCTCAAGGGCTGCAGAATAGCCATGTAAATCCATGTGTTACTTCAAAGTTCTTAAGGTTTTAGTTTAATTTGTTTGCTCTTTTTTTGTTTTTCATTGATCATGATTATAGTTTTCTTCTTTCCAATCTTGTTGCGAAATTGGGATGTAGTTTTTCAGACCTTACATCCTCAGCCTTCCCCTTCTGAATGAACTGTGTGCTCTGAATATGAATTTACTTTGCATTCTGAACAAATTTCACATTTTTAATAAGATTCTTTTAATCGTTTTTCCGTTTTACAGAATTCTCGACTACCTCACAGAGCAGCTGAGACTGTGGGAGAAATCACTGGCTGACATCCCTGATCCCCTCACCAATGCCATCACTGAAAATAAGTAAGTAATTATGTTAGTGAGTAGGATACTGTTTCGTCAGTTAGAATGTCCTCATATTTCTTTTGTTAGCTGAATTTGTGAAAAAAACGTCTTATTTATTCATGAGTTCTTTTGTATGGAAAAGTCTATGCTTTTTAAGAGACATTTCTCCGAACAGGCAGAAATATTTTTACCTCCTGTATTAGCAGGAAAAAATTTTGCTTATTGGAAACTTTTTGTTTCTTTTAGTTTTTTGGAGTAGTTTTCTTAGTTTTTTTCATTGGTATGATATGAAGGTTTTTGTTTGTTTTTCTTTTCTCAGCCATGAATCAAAATGTAGCGTAGAGGAAATTCTTGTTTCAAATAGAGGGATAAAAATAATGTTGAGATGTTGTTTACAAAGTGAATTATCTGAAAGTCCAGTGTCAATAAATTCTATTCTGTTTTTAAGAGATGTCAAGTGATTTGAATTTTAACTCCTTATATGAATAATTATGAAACAAATTAAAATAAGACAAGAAATTTAGGTCTTTATATTGATGAGTTTGAGCATTGGTTGTTTTATTTCACCCATCACCCCCTTTCAGAGTTCTACTGACTGGGCGAATGTGCTCTGCCATGAGTGAAATCACCCCACACCTACAGCGCTGCATACTGGCTCTCCCTGACTGGGACAAGCAAGCCTCCTTTAAGTGTGTAACCTTGATAATATCAGTGTTGTGATAGCTCTTACCAACTTATAAAAACGGAGTGAAGGTTGAAAAAGACACACGCACACACACACATACACACTCCTCACACACAAACACACACGTACACACACACACACACACACACACACACACACACACACACACACACACACACACACTCCTCACACACAAACACACACACACAAACACACACACACAAACACACACACACAAACACACACACATGCACACTGTGAGGGGAAATTGTTTTTATGTTTCAATGAACAGTTTTGTATTTAAAAAGTACTCAGTAGGTGTAGCTCTGTTTGAACCTATTTTTGTGCTATCAGTCTGTATTTTCTGTCTGTCACAGCCCCTTTATGTCCTCAATACTTAACTAGATTATTGTGTAGTTTTGCTCCTGTCCAAGTAAGACAACAATCTTATTTATCAGTACTTTTTGTGTGGAATAGGATTACATCCTAATGGTTAAATATTTAGAAAATTTTTTTGAGATGATTAATAGCCCTAGTTCAGGTAATAAAGCTTTAGTGTCCAAAAGAAAACAATCTGTCCTGTTACCCAGTGACTGACTTTTGATTTGCTTTAACGCTATATATACCACATTGAAATACTTTGATAGATTTTAAGTGCCTTGTCTCATTTGTTATACAAAATAAGGAAATTTGTTTATTGCTGATCTGAAATTTTGCAAGGACAATTTTTGTTGTCACTGGATGGAATGATTTATCAAATTTTAATTAGTTTGCTCATGTTTGCTAACAAAAAATATGAATTAATCTTTTTGGGTTTCAAACTTTACTAACATTGCTCTTTGTCCGTAACTGATAAAGTGATGTGATATTTTGCAAATTTGTTAAATGTGAAATTGTTTAATTTGTTCTTTCAGTTTGACCAAAAAGCGCACACAAAAGCCATCAGACTTACCAGAGTGGCAAGCTGTCCACTCAAAGCTTGTACAGTGTCAAATGTTGGCCTACAGGTATGGCTTCTAATGAATTAACTCCTGAAAACTTTTCATCCTCATGAATAGGGTTATTTTATTATCCAAAAAACAAAAGTTTTAAAGTTACAGATCAGCTAAGTTATCATTATCTATGTTGTCAAGTTCTTTTCTGTATTTAATTTATTGTGATCGAGGATGTGAAGGGAGTTTGACGTTGTGTTGAATTTTGGGACTGAGGTTTTGTGTTCAGCAGTCAAAGTAAACTTGAAATTAAATGAGTTGAGATGTACTTGTCACAACCAAGGGCTTGGTTTTTCTAATGGTCATGCACACTTTACAACATACTCTTTTGGTATTAATAGGGCAAATTTTTGTGATTCTGATAATTATCATTATAATGTAAGTTCCATGCAGTAGGCTGCAATTGAGATTCAAGATGTTTATGACTTTCACAAAAGTTAACGTTACGTTTCTAAGCCAAAAACAACTGAATAAGGTTTAGTCTTGAAAAGGATGATATAACACCATTTCTCTTGTCCAGGATATGGATCAACTATACTGCAAAGAAGCTCATGACAGCTACCACAGACTACATCAGCAGCACAAGCCCAGATGTGATACTCTCAACGGCGACAGTAACTATCTGTTTTTATTTTGTACCGTTTTGTGAATTTAAAAACTCATACCAGAGTACCCTCAACTGAGTTTATCTTCATCATCATCATCATCATCGTCATCATAATCATCATTATCATCATTATCACCATTATCATCATCATCACCATCATGCGGGTGGTTGAAGGGTGCCATTAGTTGGTTTTATTTTCTTTCCGTCTATATATCTATCTCTTCACTCTTTCCGTGCAACAATTATTCTGTGTATGTGCATCTCTTTGCTCATACTCGAAACTCGTCATTGTCATTATTGTGGTCATTGTCATCCTCTTTGTCGTTCTAAACCTCCTCATCAATATTATCATTCCACCAAGGTGCACAAGAACAGAATCAAGATTCTTCTAACCGATACAAACTCATGAAACCCTTTTTGATTTTGTTTTTCTGGATTTCTGTCTCTAGTGCTCATCAACACAAGTGCCACTGGACAACTGTTGCATAACTGTTCTTGTTGATGTTTTCGCAAACTTTCTGTTGGCACACTTGCTGTTTCATTGTTTAAACAAATCTGAAGCATTTCTATCGTCATAAGTTTTTGGTTGATAAAGTTCATTTTTAATACCCTTTGTCTTTTGATGAAGGGATTTAGATCATTTTATAAAAACTGATGTAGGGTTTTTTAATTTTTATGTTATGAAAAGAAAAACAATAGTGTACAACCCTGATGGAAAATGAGAAAAATAATAGTGGAACAGGTCCTGTAGTTATGTTTTGAGCTTTTTTAAAAGATCAAATTTGAAACTGTATCACTGCCATGATAATGAGAATCTGACATTGTTCTGCTATTTCTTTGTAATTGCAGAGGTGGGATGAAGTTGAGATTCTTGAAGAGACAGAGGAAGGAAAAAAACTCTCGTCTAAAATCTATGTTCCAATGCAGGTGAGCTGATTCAGTGAAATTATTGATGTGTTAAGCATTATATAGAATACTCAGCATGCTTCTGATTAGAGACTATGTCCAGTGTTACAGAAATATTTATCAGAAACTGTCTCAGGACTTGAGATTCAGAATAATGTACTTTATTGCCAAGATGTGCTGTGTTTCTTTTGGATACTCATCAGTACTTTTTTGGTTATCTTTTTTGTCCATTTCATATTTTTCTTTCTGTTTTATTTCTTGTGTGGCTCTGTCGGTCATCCCAAATGGTGATGCCTCTAATCAATTTTTTCTTGTCACATATAACTTTTCATACGCTCTGCAGTGAACCTGAAACGTCTTCTTATTCAAAATATGATATCACTGTCCGCAGAAAGCACGGTTGTCTTACTTTTTATTAGAGAAACTAAATTTTTAAAGTTTTTCCAGCTTCATGAATACCTTTTCTGCTTTTGTGTCTCCTTTTTATTTAACTCATGCTCATGGGTCTTGTCCTTAGTGCATTTAAAATTTTAATGCGTCCTTGTATTCTTAGTCATTCATATTCAATTACTGTGGTCATTTTGTGCAGAATGCTTCATGGCAAACTTTTTTGCTTCTATGAACAGGCATCATGGCAAATTCAGACTCTTCTACACAGACTCTGTGCTGACCTGAACAAGATTGGAGTGCAAGCTTTGCCGAGGTGAGTTACAGCCTATCTGTAATATATGACCCAACTTCATGGAAGAGGTGTGCCCCTTTTCTGAAGTATCTTACATTCATGACATATGGGATGTTTTGGACCTTTGTGTTTTGGACGGCAGTTTCATCAGGATGAACTTTCTGTCCCTTGTATAACCTAATAAAGTTTACAGCACCATGGATGTTTACTTACTTGCTGTTGGTTTTAAGGCATCAATTGTCCTCACCAGTATAAAGCAACAGCACATCGCCATTTTGAGTTTCCAGCCCTACATGATCTCTGAAAAGATCTACAGTCGAACTTGTGTAAGATGGAATCGCAAGGGAGCCAGAAAAAAATTCCTTCTTAGACAAGGGAATTTAGGGGGAGTTGGAGGTTGGGGGTTCAAAGGCCCAGCCGGTGGGATCAAGGATCGCTTGTCCGATCGGCAAGTAGTGGTCAAAACTTCACTCCTTTCAGCTGCTATCCTCTCTGATAATGACATGTGTGTGTCTTACTTATCCAATTACCACCAGTGCTTGCTTTTCATAGGACCACTGTTTTACCTATTAAAACAGGAACGTTTGAACATCTCCTTTGCTTCCACCCTTTGCCCCACCCACCAGTGCCACCCCTCACTGTAATAACGATTCGTTGAACTCTTTTCTCGGCTGGCATTGGTCAATCTAATTTCACACCTCTGCTTCTGGCAACCCTAGAAAGTTTCCGTAGTGGCTCACAACTCAAGCAGTGTCACGGGCAGTCGTGTGATTTCACACCCACACTACACTGACCATCTGCATCGCTCAGGGCTCACATGATGGGGTAACATCTACCCCCAAATTGCACCCCTACTCCCTTTCCTCGCCCAGCGGCATGGCCATAGCGTTAAGTTTAGAGCCGTCGGAACTTAACTTCGAGTTTTGTTTCAAATCAGGGTTGAGCGGGCAAAGCATTTTCCGTCTTAGACAGGTGAAACCCTTGGAAGGGAGCGGATTTTTCTTTCAGTTTCCGCGTTGGACAGGTTTCTGTTTTATACAGGTAATTAAAGAGGAATATATCAAGGGGGGAGCGGGGAGATTCTGTTCAGACAGGTTTCCGTTTTACACAGGTTTCCCTTAAGGCAGGTTCGACTGTATTGCCTCCAACACCAATATAGAAAATACTCTGTTTTCAAAACCTGAGCAATTTGGAAAGCCATTCTTGTTAAATATCATTACATCAAGTCGAAGAGCAAGACCTCAAATAACTGCTAGATTGGAAGAGTAAATGTAAGGGCATCGATAAGAAGTCATACTTCTTCACTATTTCTTAGTTATGTCTGTCCAATTGGCTCGTTTTCCTCCTGCAAAAATTGTTATTGTGTCAGTGTACTTTTCATAATCCCAAATTTATCGACATTGTTAATTATTCTACTGTAGGATCCTTATGCATGTATTTTTTTGATAATTTGTATTAGAATTGGGAATTTTTTTTACGTTCAAGCCTAAAAAGAAACCTATCACTTTTCTTTTTTGAAAGCTTTCTCAATGCAATCTGTTATTTTGTTCATTTTTAATGTTAGCTTAGTGTTTATCAACCTTTTTTATAGCCAGTGCCAACTTTTGCCACCTTTAAGAGGCTTACACTTATACCACCCACCTACATGTACCAAGGGAATCATTAAATACTACCTGTCACTACCCGGGTGAGCCGCACCGCCCACTAAAATGACCTGGTTTTTGTAATGTCTGCCCTTCTTCTGTCTCCAGGTCTGTGATAACAGATTTGCTGGTTGTGGTGACAGATGATCTGCTGACTTCCTATGAACAACTTTTGTCCTCGAGGGGTAAGAAGAACGGGCCCCACCCACTGAGCCAGCATGAAGTGTTGCAGGAAATGTTCAACTTCAAATTCATTCAGCTGATCATTCCTCGAAAAGGAGATGAAGAAGTGAGTTTGTTGTATGAGAGAAATTAAGTCTCTTACCAGTGTAAAATTAAATGTGCATTTCTATGGATTTATAATGTGTTTCGAAGGAATGGTATTAATTGCTGATTGAGATGAAAGTGGAGGCTGCCAAATCTGTCTTTGTCATCCTGTGTAGAGGGATGGATTAAAGCCATATCCTGCTTATATGGCAATACTATTGTTGCTGTCTTGTACCTTATCACCTCTGTACTGCAATCATGTTACCAATGATTGAAATGTCAGGGCTCAAGTTTTCTATTATGAGATATCTGTTCAAGCTAGAGGGGGGGGGGGAGTCTTAAATGGACATAAGAGGTGCCGAGCCACAAAAAAAAAATTAGAAAATATTGTCAAACTGGAGGCAAAATGCTGGTATCTTCGATTTCATTATTTTGACGAGCACTTGATTTCATCAGGATGCCTCACATATATATCTGTAAAGCTTCATGGTACAAGATTGTTTTTGTGACAGAAGGTTCTCAGAGAGTGAAATTTGTGGGTTATCAAGATGTTTAGATTCTTTGTGTTAATGCACATGTTGCTGTGCTTTATCATTTTATACCTTGCTATTGTTTGTTTGCAGATCCACAAAAAGTACGAACACCGCTGTCAGGCTGTTGTAGCGGGTCTGGAGGAATTAGTTGACCCATTTGATCTGGATGTCTTCTCTCCATATATGCAAGCAAACCTTCTGAAGCAAGCTCAGAGATGTTCTGTAAGTTCTTTTCCCCATTCTATGCTCTTCCTTTTTCTGCATTCAGGATAGTTGACTGTCGCTTCTTTAACACATAGTCCCATTTATTTTTATTGTTTCGCTAACAGCCTCATATCTTTTTTTCCTCTCTTAAAAAGGCTTTTCAGTTATTTGTTTCTTGTATACCATACTTGCTTGAATTCTAATGGTAATAATAGTGATTTTACTTTTTACCTCATATGTCCAACTGTTTCTACCACTGAGTTGATATGGAATACATTGGCGAAGATTTCATTTTCGATGGTGCCTTTATTTTAAGTAAATCTTGAGGAAGAAAATTACACCTTTGTTTAGTACCTTTGAACCTCTAGATAACATGTATCATTATGCTTTTTAATGAGATTTCATTATTGAAACATACTATTTTGAATGTCCCATATAGCTGGTTGGGACGATTTGACCAAAATTCTGTTTTTTAAACTTTTATAGACGTTAAAACATGACTTGAACAACCATATAATTTAATATTTTACCGTTTTAATCTAAAGTTTCTATGGTTTTTGTCCTAATAAGTCTAATATACTGAACTTATGACAATATGACTTTTCTGCTCTTTGTATGAAGTTCACATGTTTAGTCCTCTAATATTTTCTACCAATGCCTAGTCTTATTTTTGTATCCATCAGTATTGTTTTAAGCCAGGGTGTTGAAAATCAAAGTTATAGATAGGTTTTGACCGGTCTGGGAACAAAAACACTGAACAATATGGTGTAGATAATGCTATAAAATAATATTGTAAGTGGAACCTCTATATTTCAAAGCTGATTTTTCAAAAAGACCGAACAATGTGGAGGAGGGGGGGGGGGGGGGGGGAATCTTAAATACTTCCCCAACTGTAAATATGGATGTTTATGATGTATTGAACTCGAGTTTTACATTGTTGTTGTGATTTGTTATCACCATTGTTATGTGCTGACTTGTCATTTTCCATATAGGTGATATTCGGAGCCCTGGCGAGCCTGGACAAGCACGGGGGTGTTCTGGGGTCGACGACCTCTCGTCCCGTGCTCAGCAGCCAGGAACAGCACAACATCCTTCCCTTGTCGTCCTGCCCACAGCGGTTCCCTCTCCTGCCGCTCAGTTCCAAGCAGGCCAGCCGGTCAGCTCTGACCACTCAGCCTATGACTGCCCAAGCCATAAACAGAGTGAGTGCTGCATACAGTAAAGGTGCCTCTGAGGGCTAGAAGTGCTTTCTTCCTTTGCTTCTAGATATTATGTTTACTTGGGCTTGTGCCCTTTGATTGTTGACATTGTGCTTAATTAAAAGAGTTCTCAAGAGATGCTACCATAACTGCTATTGCAGATAATCTAGAAAGGTGGTCCTTATTGTGCTGTCTTGTCTGTCTGACTGTTTGTCTGTCTGTCCCTTTGTCCCTCTATCCCTGCAGACACACACAAAGCTACTGTGGGGAAGTTAGACACACACAAAGCTGCTGTGGGGAAGTTAAACAATGAATTTGGCTGAAATGTAAAAGTTGTGGTAGGAAATTTGAATTAGGTCTGAATTCCTTTCTCGCCTTTTACTCAGAGTTGTGCCAAAATGCAACTTGCCTTTTATTTTTTTGGTGGTTCAATGTCTATCTGTCTATCTTTTCGTAAAACCAAAACAAAAATTTGCTGACAGTTACAAAAGAAACATGCTTGACAAGTTATGTCATTACTAAATGATAAATAGATGTGCCATTTTGCTAAAGCAGTGATGATACAATATGCTCATCACAGCTGTTCCCAATGTAGAATGCAGCAGTGTGAATGACGTTAGATTGAATTATTTTCTGTATACTTATCTATGAAAAATGATTTATGAAAATGTTGAATTCTCAGAATAGTTATTTCAGTTCTGCCCCTTTGAATGTGATACCTGAACTTGAGCTATGTCTGGAAGAGAATTTTGTTAACACATCTTTGGTCAGCTTTGGTCAGCTCTGTCATTTTGAAGCCTCTGTGGTATTTCTTCCTGTCATTTTTTGTATTACTCCAGCACTCTTGTAGCACATTTGTATCAATGCTCTTCCTCTATGACCCAGTCAATCAACAATCATTCACATGAGAGGGAAAACAAATTGTTGAATTCCATTTTTGTATATCCATTAGGTAAAGGGTATTTGCTTTCTGTCAGCTCTGTCAATTTCCTCCACTGAACGATTAGTAAAAAGTATCTCCTATCTTATCTTTCACGACTGTTCACCTCAGCTTGTTTCCTTATAACCGAAGCTTGTCAGCAGTGTCCATCCTGTGAAAACTGCCATCCACCATATACACTGCATGCTCTCTTGAACAGATGGGTGGGGGCTACTCTGGTACGGTCTTCTCTTCCCACTTCATGACAGTATTGCTATTGTCCTTATCTTTTTTCCTTCTGAAATGTGGCTGTGGGTGGTTGGAGGGTGCAACTCTAGGTACTACATCTCAACTATCCTTCATGTATCTATCTATCCTTAAATGTGTCATGACGTGGTGGAATCAGGCACTCGTCAATTTTTAGGTAATTGGGTTTATTGGTATCATCTTAAAGCCTGTTCATTTGCCTTCCTTTTAGTGAAACAAATATCCTTCTATGTTGAATAGAAGTTGAAATATTTGCGATTGAAGGAGGTCACGGTTGCCTGGTTTCAGAGGTAAAAATTAGCGAGAGAATGGCTACCAAAGTTTGGTAACTTCCTTGCCGGAGAGTCCTTGGAAACTAAAAATTTACATTTTTGGTGCTCTTGATCAATGTTTTTGAGTGAAACCTACAAATAATGTGTTTTTAAATGGACGTAAAAGGTGTTGAGCCAAAAAAAAGAAAATTAGAAAAAAATTTGCCCATCTGCCTAAAATATACAGATTTCTTCGATTTCATTATGTAGACGAGCGCCTAATTTCACCACGGTGCCTCACATATATATTACTTTTTTCCAACACTAATTGTCTGTTATTGATGTACATGCTTTTACTCAAAACTCAAACTCTGAAATGTGACTGTTATTGTAAGGACTCGCCCTGAACCGTAGCTGAGCAAGAACATTTTTCTGACTTTTATCAAAGAAACAAAAGTCGGACAAGTAACAAACAGACAAACAAACAAGGATGCAGTGCCTATTATACTTTTGTGTCTTCTTTCTCTCAGGCCCCAGAGGTCGGAGGTCAGAGTCTAACCTCAGCTGTGGAGGCCACTCTGCCGATGACTTCATCACAAGCCGACCTGAGCAGTTCCTTCTATGATAAGATGGAGAAGTTGGGCAGCATGGGCTCCAGGATCTTCTCCAACATCAGCGGGAAATCCTGATCCGTCTCTGCTCCAAATGTTTGGTGAGTTTTGCCAAAGATAGTAAACACGTGTGTTTGGAATGATTGTGAATTGTGGAGAATTAGGGCACTTTTTTCTAGAATTTATTTTCTTATGAGTTTTCTGGAATTGTCGAAAGTTGTAGACTTTTCTGTTGGACTTTTGGTAATTTATGTTCCCTTTATTTCATTGTTGTAATGATGTGACTTGTGAAAGTGGAGGCAGGCAAAAGAAATGAGATTAGAAAAGTATTTTCTTTTTATGTCCTTCCTTACCTTACTGTACCTTACCTAACATTTACTTACCTGACTGTAGCAGACTCAGATCTTATCTTGTTTTGTCCATGTTAACTTGTGTCCTATGAAGTCTGGGGAATTTTTCTGTCCAGGAAGTCCCTTTTGGAGCTCCTACTGTTGAAAGTACTCTCACGTCCTCTGTTTATGGTTATGCTTCCTTATACTAAAGAAAGAAAAGTGAGTAAGAAAATAATCGTATGCTGCCCCTCAGAAAAAGCTACTGACTGAAGTGTCTTTAGGCCATTCCCAAAGGGGGGACTTTAACATGTTCTTATGCACAGTAGGATTGTAAATGGGCTGATTCATCCATATCATACTCATAACTGTTCCTGAACTGCAACAAGGAACTGCTGCTTTTTCTTTCTTAATTCTTACTATCATCATTTTTCCTCTACTTCTTTTGTATGGTTGTCACACTCTTGTGACCCGCTATTTCCGGCTTTGTACTGTTGAAGCTAGAGAGGTAAGCAGAGTAAGCCTGATTCCCTGTAAGGACTTCTCTGTTGACATCCATCCATTGGTGCTGATTTGACCTTATGCCTTATGCAGTTGCGAGCACCGTAAAATGTCTATTAATCTAAAGCTAAGCAAATGTTTTGTCTCTTTAAATTAACAGCTCCTGGCAGTATTGTTAAGTTACTACTGAAGTTTTCCTTTTGTGCTTGGCCACGGAATGAGGGATTGTGTGAAAAAAAAAAATTTTTGTTTTTGTTTTTAAGATTTTTTAATTTACACTTTTTTGTTTTGTTTTGTGTCTTTTCCAGTAACTTATATTGGTGGTTCTCAACTGGTGGTCCATGGACCTTTTGTGGTCCGCGATGTCTTGTTTTGGTGGAATGCAAGACATTTTCTGTATCTGGCGGTAACCTGTATAAAGTGGTTCATAATATGATATAATTATTATATTTTAAGATTTATTAGAAATGCAGTTTGACACATGGTATCAAATAAATGTTGGTTAAAAAATATATATGAAGCCTCAGTGTTTTTGTGTTTGCTTTTTTACCTTTTAGATCTACTCAGAAATAAAATGGTTCAGTACAGTTCAGTACACTAGTACAGATATTTGAAAAAATGGAATTTGATTGAGGTCCTTCGCTTCTTACACAAGTTGAGAACCACTGATGTGGTTGAAAGTGCTTTGAATCTGAAATTGCATTGAAACTGGGAGGGGGGTGATTTAGTAGTCTCAAGACAAAATATTTCCCTCTCATGCGGAAGTGTCTGATTTGATTTTGTGTCAGCCAGGTATGGTTGACTGATAAGGTTGTGCTTTTCTGAAATTTACTACCCCCATACTGTCAAATACCATCCTGTGTTACACAAAGAGTTAAACCTGAACATTTTCATAGAGTTGATAGGATCTGAAAGTTCCTTTTTTCTCAAATGAGGAAGAAAAAATTGGCGATTTTGTGTCACTTGTCGGCATGCCTCTTATCTGCATGTCTCTAATCCTTTAAACACCTTGGTTTGTGTGAAAGTATAAAAAATAGCAATCCTACTGAACTGATCACACCAAAAATGTGCAAATTATTCCTTCTTCATCAAGCTGAAGATACTCTGATCTGTATGAAAAATTAAGAGGACCTTGGAAAATTGTATGTAATATCTTGAACGGCAAAGGACCCTCATTTAACCTGGCAAAATGAGTTGTTGTCAATGGAAAATCATTTGCCCGTTCTTAAGAACTGTAGGTTTCCATCTGTGGGCCTACCTGTTTGGTACTTTTAGCAAGAATAGCAAGTTTCTTATATCTTAAATTGCCGTAGATTTTGGAATACAGGAAGAGGAGAAGCAGGAAAAAGAAGAAGAAGAGCAGGAGGATGAAGCTTCAGAAGGGTGAAAGGAAGAGGAAAAGGAGGGTGAGGGGAAGAAGAACAAGAACAAGAACACTAAAAAGACATGGCACTTTAGTGGCCTGGCTGGCTTGTGGCACTGGCTTTTGTGCTCAATGCTTTCCCTGGTGTTTGTAGACAAGAAGAGTTAAGCCCTTTGTATTGCTTGTAAAAAGACATGCAGGTTCCTTCTCATGTGAGAAAGGTGTTTGATATATCTTTCTGGTGGGACATAGTTTCCTATACTGCACACACAGCCCTGACAGGCTGTGGCCAAAGTAGCCTGCTGCCAGAAAAGCCTTCATTTTGTCATTGTGACGTCCTGATACCGGGAGTCTAAAAGACAAGGACCCATTTAAGGGGCATCTTTGGGCCAATTTCAATACAAAATTTTTTTACAAGTAAAATTCAACAAAAGGGACGTCAAATTTAACAATACAAAACAAATCATTTCTCAAGACTTGTTTGAGAGAGGTAGCAAGTTTTACAAATCTCAACCAAAATTGAGTGAAAGGCAAAACTTTGCTTCTAAAAAAAAATCAATCATAATGTGTATATTTTTTGCATTGAAGAACATTTATACAGAACTGATATTGCCTAGTAAATTCATTTCACAAGACTTGTTTGAGAGAGGTAGCAAGTTTTACAAATCTCAACCAAAATTGAGTGAAAGGCAAAACTTTGCTTCTAAAAAAAAATCAATCATAATGTGTATATTTTTTGCATTGAAGAACATTTATACAGAACTGATATTGCCTAGTAAATTCATTTCACAAGACTTGTTTGAGAGAGGTAGCAAGTTTTAAAAATCTCAACCAAAATTGAGTGAAAGGCAAAACTTTGCTTCTAAAAAAAAATCAATCATAATGTGTATATTTTTTGCATTGAAGAACATTTATACAGAACTGATATTGCCTAGTAAATTCATTTCACAAGACTTGTTTGAGAGAGGTAGCAAGTTTTAAAAATCTCAACCAAAATTGAGTGAAAGGCAAAACTTTGCTTCTAAAAAAAAATCAATCATAATGTGTATATTTTTTGCATTGAAGAACATTTATACAGAACTGATATTGCCTAGTAAATTCATTTCACAAGACTTGTTTGAGAGAGGTATCAAGTTTTAAAAATCTCAACCAAAATTGAGTGAAAGGCAAAACTTTGCTTCTAAAAAAAAATCAATCATAATGTGTATATTTTTTGCATTGAAGAACATTTATACAGAACTGATATTGCCTAGTAAATTCATTTCACAAGACTTGTTTGAGAGAGGTATCAAGTTTTAAAAATCTCAACCAAAATTGAGTGAAAGGCAAAACTTTGCTTCTAAAAAAAAATCAATCATAATGTGTATATTTTTTGCATTGAAGAACATTTATACAGAACTGATATTGCCTAGTAAATTCAGGGAAGCATTCATTTCACAAGACTTGTTTGAGAGAGGTATCAAGTTTTAAAAATCTCAACCAAAATTGAGTGAAAGGCAAAACTTTGCTTCTAAAAAAAGAATCAATCATAATGTGTATATTTTTTGCATTGAAGAACATTTATACAGAACTGATATTGCCTAGTAAATTCAGGGAAGCTGGTGGCTATTTAAATTCTGTGCTCCAGGTGTTGATCATTTTCTCCAGACAAGCTTGAATATGTTGCTGGAAATTCTGAATAAACCTGTGACATATTTCTGGGTCAATTTTTTGGACTGCCTGTTCATCATTGAGTTTCTGCAATTATTTTTGGGATGTTTCCGGATACTCTTGTTTGTCAAAAGACCCGAAAGGAAATGATTAAGGCGATTCAAGTAAGGGGAACCCGATGATTATTCATTTATAAGTTTTTGGTCTAAACTGCGTTCCCCAAATCTTACTTGCCACCATGTAAGAGCCTCTCTTGATGAGTGGGGTGTGACCACACCTTGCTGGAACCAGGCTCCCCCAGCGTCTTCCAAACTTTCTCAGCACAGTAAGATATGTATTTATTGGTTTGTTTATGATTTGACTATGGTCTTTGAACCAGAACAGACCAATCACACCCCTGTAGCTGTGTGCCTAAAAATAAGTAACTTTTGTGTTTTACTCAATTTTGGTGGAAATTTGGATAACTAGATTTTTCTCAACATGCAGCTTGATTTTCTTCATACATTTATTAACAAATTTGACGCCCCCTTGGTTGAATTTTATTTTTTTTACGTTTTTTTTTAAATTGATGCAAAAATGACCAATTTATTGCCCTTTGAATGAGTCCTTTCTTTTTTTAAAGACACCCTATACTTTTGCAATTGGTAAATACGTAAACATGTGTGTCGACATAGATCTAGGACTTCTGTATGTACTCGTAGCTGACTACAGTAAAGCTTTTCACGTACTTCAAGATTTATTGAGCGAAGTACCGTATATACTTCTTTTTGGGTGGTTGGTTGGCACCAGTGGAAGATTCACCAAGCTGAGTTTATTTTTCTTTCGTCTTTTTATTATTCTTGCCTGTCCTCCTGTTTTCCCTAATACTGTTATGCAGGTCTGCTTCTCTTAATCTCAAGGAAACGAATAAAAATTGAAGAAGCTTTGATTTATGACTGCTGTGTTAAAAAAGAGCTAAATACTGATTCCTGAAAAGGTGGACAATCTCGCAGGTTTGCCTTTGTCTCAAAGACACAGACAAATGAAGAGACAGGCATACAAAGAAAAACAAAGAAAGAACATTCTAGTGTATCCATATATACGCTACGATGCGTCGAAAACGAAGCAGAAACATAATCCAAGCAAATGAAGAATGGCGTGTCCAATTAGAATTCAATACGCCAGGAAACTGAATTATGCTCATGGGAAAAGTTTTCCTTTTGAGCCATCTGGAAACACATGTATTCCATTTGTATTCATTGAAGACATTAATTAGCTCATCCGCTTCAGCTGGGTCTGGTGTTGATCAAAATGTATTACTCGTTTCGTGAAATGAGCTTGCTTTTCCTAGGCTTGTCTCTTGTGCAACTTGAGAAAGCTCGGGGACCGACACAGCCACAAAGACTGGCTGGTAGACAGACATTATTTCCAGAAAACAGGCGGGCGGAGACATGTCGATGGTTGGCAGGTCTGTCCTTGTATCTTGCTCTTCGTTGCCTTTTCGCATTCTTTTGCCTGTCTGTCTGTCTGTCTGTCTGTCTGTCTGTCTGCCTGTCTGCCTGTCTGTCTGTCTGTCTGTCTGTCTGTCTATAACGGAGGAGGTTTGGGGGAAGGGTGCCTTGGTATGTGTGTGAGTGTTTGAGTGAGTGTGTGTGTGCGCGCGCGCGTGTGAGTGCGCGCGCGCGTGTGAGTGTGTGTGTGTGTGTGTGTGTGTGTGTGTGTGTGTGTGTGTGTGTGTGAGCGACCGAAAATAGAGTAGGTGGAAGAAAGCTGGGGGTGGATGAGGGAATAATAGGTTTCTGTAGTGAATGTCTACACAAGAAGGCCATAAAACTAAAAAAACAAAAACAAAAACCCATAGAAAAAGAGGCAGTTTGCTAAATACAAGATCATAGCTGAATAAAATACGCTCTTCCAGGGAAAGATACATCAGCATTTTTTTCAGCATCTCTTCAAGTTTCTGCTCCTCCCTCTTTTACTCCT